TGCCTTGAAAACTGCAAGGACTCGTCCAAGCAGTCACTGCAGAGTCGGTAACGACTGAGCGCAGATTAAAAAAAAAAAAATTGCATAAAGAAATAAAGAAATAAACTGGTATAAATAAATGAACTACAGTACATCATTTACCTGACACTTCCGAAGAGCTCTTATGGCCAGTTACCTGCTGTCACAATTAGGGAGAAACCCCATCACTATTTTTCTTCCTCTCTAATTTCCATGGCATGGTGTTTATAACGACACTTATACTATGTGTTATAATGTAAGATAACTTAGAAGCTATTCCCTACTTACAAGAACCTCTAGTACAAGTAGATGAAGTTAGATCAGTACTCCAGTCTTTACCAATTCAGAAGGCTACAGGAACTGATGGAATACCACCAGAAATATGGCAAGCAACAGGAGAACCAGTCAAGGTTCTAACCAACCTATGCCAGCAAATCTGGAGAACGACAGTGGCCAACAGACTGGAAGAGTCACTCTATGCTCCAATACCAAAAAAAAGAAGACTTAACAGAGTGTGCAAACTATTGTATAATATCCTTAATTTCACATGCTAGCAAAGGAATGCTTAGGGTTAGGGTTAGGGTTAGATTAGAGCCCTACATGGAAAAAGAGATGCAAGATTTAAAACTGGCTTTAGAAAAGGCTGAAAAAACACGAGACATTATTGCTGATGCACACTGGATAATTGAGGAAGTCAAAGAATACCAAAAAGAAGTCACTCTATGCTTCATTGATTATAGAAAAGATTTTGATTGTGACAATCATGTCAAGTTATAGAACGTGCTCAGAAAAAAAATGGGAATTCCAGAACAGCTCATTGTATACGAAGGCAGGAAGCCACAGAATAATGATGAAACAGATTGGCTTCAGGTTGGCAAAGGAGTGAGACAAGGCTGTATACTCTCCCCATTTTCATTCAACCTATTTGCTGAATATATATTAAGGGAAGCTGGATTGGAAGATGATGAGCATAGTTTTAAAATTGGAGGAAGAACATCAATAACCTACACTATGCTGATGACACTACCCTGATAGCCAAATTTGCAAAGGATCTATATGCTCTAGTAATAAAAGTGAGGGAGCAAAGTGAAAAAATGAGACTAAAATTAAATATAAAGAAGACCAAACTAATGACAACAGGTAGAACAACCAGCCTTAGAATTGGCAATGAAGACATCAAAGTCATGGATAGCTTCTCCCTTCTAGGATCAACCATCAACAGTAAAGGAACAAGCAGTGAAGAAATGATGCAGACCAGCACTTGGTATAGCAACCATGAAGGCCATGGAAAATATATTCAATTGAGATGAGATCTCTGTATCTCTGTATCTACAAAGGTCAGAATTGTACAAGCCGTGGCATTCCCTGTGACACTCTGTGCAAGTGAAATTGGACTTTGAAGAAGCAGAATAGGAACAGTATTGATACCTTTCAACTTTGGTGTTGGAGAAGACTCCTGAAAATACCATGGACAGACAAGAAAACAAACCACTGGATCATCAAACAAATAATCACAAAGTTCTCACTCGAACCACAAATGACAAGGCTCAAATTATCCTACTTTGGATACATTATGTGCTGACCTGGCTCTCTGGAAAAGGCTCTAATGCTGGGAAAGGTAGAAGGAAAGAGAAGAAGAGGATGCTGGAATATCTGAAAGAACAGGTTAGGGATAGATCATCATGGAGAAAATCTATCTATGTGGTTGCTAAGAGCTGAACATGACTTGATGGCACGTAATCAATCAACCAGTCAATCAACCAATCAATCAATCAATCAATCAATCAATCAATCTAGCATTAAACAGGAGTATCATCATAGCCTGTGGTTGCTCAAACTGACCTCACAGATTGCCTCAATAGGCACAAGAGGTAGTGTATAAATTGCTGTCAATAAAGCATTGAGACACAACTGGCTACGAGAAAAGTTACTAAGAAGTTGCTATTATGTAACATTGCTGTACTAGAAGGAGATATGCCCTATAATATCCAAGGAGTCATTTTATGTTTATAAAACAGTACCAAAGAAAACAAATCAATTTATATGATGCCTGACCCAAGGACTGCATAATACTGATTACCTTTATTACAAAAGTATTCCACTTCTTCACAGCTCAGATTCCCAGACTCAAATTCTGCAGAAAAGTTGCCCTCCAGGGGAAAGTCTTCTTTGGAGATAATGTCATTTTCCTCAGATAGGCACTCTTCTTCTTCATCCTCAACAGCATCCTCAAGGGGGCCTTTAAAAAAACAAGAACATTGTACCAAAATAATATAGAAGCAAAGCCATACCTAAAGATTTTATTTGTGAGTATGTTTGTGGAAATAGGTGATAAACCAGAAAAGATAGCACAGGTAGTAGCAAAAGATGGCTTCTAAAAAGTTGCTAATGTTTTGCAAACGTAAATATTTTTATTCAAACAAAGGCAGAAAAACAATGCCAGTCTGTAATCAATTATAATGGAGTACAGTATCCCCAATAGCTGACACCAAAAGAGAAGTCTGCTATAATTTATTAGGGAATACTAATGATTGATACTGTTAGAATGAACTGATAAGTACTGTTATATAGTCTATCAGAAGATAAGTTTTCTTAAGTTAGAATTTGACCAAATAAACCTCCTCCCAAATATGTATCAGGAGCTCCTTCTTCTTATGCAGGGCTTTATCATTCCCTGAAGCGTTTGTCCTGTTCTATCCTGTCTTTCTTCTTGTGTGTATAAGCAGGAAAAGATAACAATTAGTCAGTTTGATGAGCTTTGGTAACCTGTAGAGTCCTTGGGATTCTTTGAGCTTGGTTGTTCTCTTGGAGACATTTCATTACCAACTAGGTAACATCTTTAGTGCACTGTAGATGTTACCTAGTTGGGTAATGAAATGTCTGCAAGAAAACAACTAAGCTCAGAGAACCCCAAGGACTCTACAGTTCAACCCTGAACTACATCTATTCTCTTCCTTGGTAACCTTTCCACCATGTTCTAGACAGGTGCACCAGAAAGACAGCATACAACATGCAATAGCTTATCTGATCCAAACACAGTTGTTTCTGTCCCTTACATTGGTGAGCCATCACTACTCTTCTTTCCTCGTCATTTAAGAACTCTGTTCCTTAAGGATTTGAGAGTCCCTTCAATTGTTCTGGAGAGTTTAGAATGCTAGAATTATCTCAGACAATTGCAGGTTGCATTCCATGTCCAGAGTGTCAGCCACCTTGTGATTGTGCACCATCTTGTCACATGCCTCTAAGTATTCACTACAGCAAAACCTCAATTTAACAATCTATTTGGTGAAAGGAGTATCTATTAAATCTGAATGTCCATTAAATTCAAGCTTACATCAATTGCATTGATTTACATTTTTTGTATTTTATGTACATTATATATTTTACAATAAAACTTCAATTTAATGTTCAAATCCTTGATTTAACAGAAAACCCTTGATTTAATAGAGATTCATTCATTAAATGAGGGTGGAGTCTAAATGAAAAATTGTCCATTGTGTCTGTTAAATTGAAGGTTACTGTACTCCCACTGGGAAGATTACTTCCTTCTTGGGGACCACTTCCCATCATCTCTGCTCCTGGATAACTATTTGTGTCCTGTTCTACTTGAACATTTAATTCCACTGCCGTTTATGAAGAGCTCTCCATGCCTGTGTGTTCTTCGTTTTCTATGGTAAGTCCAAGGAAGAAAGGATGCCCTCCATTTTTCTCACTTTTTCCTCAAGCAAGGACAAAGCCTGCATTTTCAACTGTTATTAGCATAATCTGTCTTTATACCAAATATTACACATACCTGGCAGGTCACCATGGCTCTCCCTTGGTCTTTAATGTTTCAGCAAGATTTGAGGTTAGCTTGTTTCTCCCCCTGCTAAGTTCCTTCTTGTACCTGGATAGTCTCTTGTTCACTCACCCTAGTCATTAACACCCAGCTGCCTGTCCTCCTTCTAATATGTACTGCTGAGGCTAAAAACTGCTGGCTTAGATTAATAGAAAAGCAGGACTTGCCACAGACAACCTAAAAATTAGTTCATCCACTCTAGATTTTGTTTTATTAATCTTTCTATTCTTTTATTTTGTTCTATTATGGAATTTCTATTTTTACTATAAAGCCACCTTGGGGAAGTTTCCTTGAAGTAAAAATTAAACATGTCCTTGAGTCAAATGGAACTCCTGGTGCTGATTCATGCAAGTTTCTTGCCAGTATTACCTTGCCATTGCCTTCTTCAGAGATTTATTTTTTATTTCCCAATATGGTTTTCATCCGTGCAGTTCCATGTGGTTCCCATCCAAGTACTAACAAAGACTGACTCTACTTAGCTTCCAAGATCAACCAAGACTAGCAAAATCCTATACCTGCTGAACCTTTTTTAAAAGGAAGATACAAGCACTGAAGCTTAAGTGTATAAAAACAAATTTTGAATTCATATTGAACAAATTTGACTGAAATTATTTAAAACTTCATAATGTAAGATTTGAATAGTAAAAGAACAGGTAAACATAATCCATATAAAATGATGATTAAATTTCATGTAATCTACTCCCATAGGCAAAATTATTCCCTATAAGGAATTCAAAGAAATTAAATAAGTGAACTGCTAGAAAATGTATGAATGTGTGACGAATAGCATAAAAGTCACTGGGGACAGAGAAAGAATTCTCATACGATTAGAAATTTCATGGCACTTCTAAGTATTTTGTGGCACCAAAGCAGAAAAATCAGAAATTTTTAAAATACATAATTTGTAATTGTAATATACAGCCATACAAATATATGGCTATATGCATATATGGCTATATGTACTTATATCTATACAGTAATACCTCGGTTCACGAATGCTTCTGTTCATGAGCAATTCAGTTCGCGGACAGCAGCGTTCACAAAATGTTGCTTCCGTTCGCAAACTCCGCATCGGGTGACAAACATGACCCGTGGCCATCTTCCCTGCTCTGACATGTGGTCGTGGCTTCCGCAGTCACAGACAGACACTTGCTGTGAAGCTTTTTGGTGTCGCCTCAAGCAAGGTTAGTGTTCTCTCTCTTCATACTGTACTGTACTGTACTTCGTTTCATACTTTTGTATTTAAAAAAAAAATACAAATGATTCAGAACGGATTAACCTTATTTACATTGAACTTTATGGGAAAATTTGATTCGGTTAGCGACCAATTCGGTTGGCGACCACGTTCGTAGGGGTCAGAACGGATTAACCTTATTTACATTGAACTTTATGGGAAAATTTGATTCGGTTAGCGACCAATTCGGTTGGCGACCACGTTCGTAGGGGTCAGAACGGATTAACCTTATTTACATTGAACTTTATGGGAAAATTTGATTCGGTTAGCGACCAATTCGGTTGGCGACCACGTTCGTAGGGGTCAGAACGGATTAACCTTATTTACATTGAATCTTATCGGGAAATTTGATTCGGTTCGTGACCAATTCAGTTCGTGACCAGAATCGTGGAACGGATTAAGTTTGTGAACCGAGGTACCACTGTATATGCATATTCTAGCTAGCTAGCTATCATGTAATATTATAGCATTCCTTAAAATATTTAATAATTAAAAATAATAAAGTAGAACACAGAGAATGTCATCTTTACCTATAACCCAAAAGGTATCATCAGTATTATTATTATTAGACTTTTATCCCAATGTAGATAGATACAGTCAAATCACCTAATGATATATCTTCATTCACAAAGGAATCTTTAATTTAGCTAAGGCTTCTGCAAATACAAAATCAGTGGATTTTCATTTTATTGCATATTCATTTTTGCTCACTTATAGGCTCCATGTTGTTCAGTGGGACCCTAGCCTCCTGAATGGATTTGGGAATCATGGGGGGGAAGAAGTCCAAGAGAAAGGACAAATTAGTAAAATTCATGCCACATCTTCTATCTGTGCTAACCTTGAACTGATCAAAGATCCTCCCATGAATAGCACACACTAAATACAGCTTTGATTTATATATGTACATATCAATTTACAGAAGAACAAGTGAAAAAGATCAATGCCCTAAGTAACTTGCCATACAAGGTGGGCCTCAATTAACAACCACGTGTTCAGTGACTGAACTTACGAGAGTGCTGAATGAGTGGTACTTACGATCAGTCCTCAAAGTTCCAGCCATTGCAGCATCCCCACAGACATGTGATTGCCATTCTCAACCTTCACTGCTGGCTTCTGACAAGCAAAGTCAGTGGGGAAGCCAGCAGGAGGTTGGAAATGGAGACCATGTGACGTCGCAATGACGGCAACCAGAAGTGCTAAAACTGCTGTTGCTAAGCAGCATGGTCATATGACATCAGGCTTTACAACCATGTTGTTTAGTGACAGAAATTTCTGTCATTAACTGAGAACTATCTGCATGTTTTACTCTTCTGAATGCAATTACTGTGCTTAACCTCAAGGAACAATTCTATGGTCCTGAGGCCTTATACAATATATCTGTCCCCAAAAAGGCATTTTCCCCCTTCCTAGTTATTCTGAATTTAAGCAATATAATGAAGTTAGAAGTTCAAAAAGTTGTCTACCTGCAAAACTCTAGGGTCTAGTCATTATTAGAACTTGGGGTGGGGAGACTATAGTCTAGATATTTTTCGTAGTTTCATCCTGTTTGTCCTCTTCCTGATTAAAAGAAACTCCAATATTTGAAAGTTAAACAATGCAGAAGAACATGTTTAAAAAAGGTAGTCTTGTTTAAATCAGCTCACCTCCCACATGTCCATATAATTTCCTTGGCAACAATATGAAAGTAGTTTGCCATAGCTGCCTTCTGAGATGCTTTTTCAATTTCAAAGCCTAACTTAACCTACAACCTACAGCTCTGGAATTCCCTGGACATCTTCCATCCAAATACCAGCCACACCTAATTGTGCAGAGGCAAAAACATATAATATTTTATAAAAATTATGTTAAACTATATTCTTAAATTAGTATGTTAATTTCATTAAAAATGTAACTTAAGATTTGTGTTATCTAACTTCATGCAGCAAAACTATTACTCATATTACATCCCAAATAACTGTTCACTTAGTAAATACATTAAGGACATATGAACTAGCACAAGTGATTGATTATTATATTTGATGTATACTGAACTAGTGTCTTGTAAGAGACATTAGTTTTTAATCATGCTCCCTATAATTAAAATATACAAATTAAAAATAAGTATAGACAGATTGTCAATTTTAAAAAATACTGAATCACAGCTGCAAAGCTTTGTTGAATGTACTTATTCTTCACATCAGCTAGTAGATTTATTTTAATTATTAATAAAAATTATTTCTTTTTAATCTCTACAGCAATATCAAGGAAGTGTACAACAGATCAAAATAAGAAAACAATAAAATGTAAAACCATAAATACATAAGAGCCAACAATAACACTATTTTAAAGTCCAAGTTAAAAATGGATGGCTGGTGTGGGTCTTCCAGGCTGGATCCTAACCTTTTTTCTAAAAACTAAGAGATGGATCTTAACCTTTTTTCTAAAAACTGAGAGATGGGACAGGGAGACAATCAGAACTTTAGAGGTATTACATTCCATGATTTCAAAGTGACATAGAATGACCAACAAGTAAGACTATCATGAGCAGTGATGTCCTTGAAAACGCAGTGGACTGGACTGGTTTATAATGAAACAGAAGATTCCCTACATATCCAGATCCTAAGCAATTTATGTCAAGGATTTGTACCAGGCCAGTAATTAAATTTCCTTTTCATTCCACTTTCTAACTTAGACACAAGAATGTTAGCAAGATTTATTTTAGACAATTACAAAGTCCTACATAAAATAAGTACTCTATCAAACTGCATCCAAGAGGTCTGTCCTATAAATATGTTAGTCCCATGGTTTAAATCCTGGGCTTCTAACTACTACCTTTTTAAGTCAACAGCCATGTCAAGCTCTTTTCCTAGCCCTGGCAGTTTCTGATATCTGTCCCTGGCTTACAAAATGGTTTTCTCTGGCATGAGAATCAGAGATTCCTACCTCACCAAGTTCAATTACAAGTTACATTAAATCCAATTAAAAAGCTCAGAGAGTGTGTGTAGTTGTGGGACTTCATGTTGTCTATCCTAAAGGTTAAGACCACTCTGGTGAGCAGACTAATTGTACTTTGCACTAACTCAAGTTTCTGAACTCTTTTCAAGGGGAGCACTAGAAGAGCAAATGGAAATTGCCCAAAATAATATAAAGGATGCATCAATAACTGATGCCAAATCAGTCCAACTCATGAAACACTTTCCTGTAATAGTGCTGAAGGCAAAATATTATGACTAGCTGAGGAAAAAGCTACTTGGGAAATTCAAATGAAGAGAAATAAATGGCTACCTTCCATGAAACCTTTTGCCATGCAGGCCCTGCTTCCCTGTGCCAAGCTGTTTTCTTACATTTGAAACTCAATATCGTTCAATATTTGCAGAAGTGTACGTTTGGCCTGTCATACCCAGGGATCATATAATCCCTACTGATAAACTACATGTTCATGCAGTAAACATAGCTGTATTCCTTGCCAAAAACCCATTCAGTGACCGTATAGAATCAAGTAAGAGTCCAACCCTACGAACCTGATCTTTCAGGACACTGCAACCATTTCAGAGAAGATAGAATCCAATCCAGATGGAGGCAATTGTCCTACAGACCAAAACCAAATCTGATTTCACTGTATTGGATTTCAGTTATTACACACAGGTAACACAGATGGCTATTGACTGTTTCTTTAGTATTAAATGACAAAGAACAACCAGTGTGTATATTGCAGGATTTTCATTTAAAAGCTTTGCATAACCTACCCAAATATCTC